AAGACAGAATACAGACTTCTTTAGAAATTCTGACTTTATTCACTGAAACTCAGTTGCCCATAGAATCTCCCCATGAGTAGGAATGAAAATTTTGAGAGTATAAAATAAAAGAACAGAAACAGCAAATAGAGGAATCATGGGGTGTATAAGAACATCTGTCTAGAAGTACGCACGAGACCCATACAAGTTCAAGGTAAACAAAATCTTAGCGTAGAGCAGGGAAATGGACAAGAAATCTCACCACTAGCTAAGGAGCTATTGGCATTTCATGTCAGCTAGGAGAAGGAGATTCAGTATTCTTTAATGAAGTGACTCTTGGTGGGTCAACCACATTACAGGGTGGACCCCACTACAAAGAGTAGTTGGGCAGTAGAAACTAAACAGTGGGGCGAAGGGACCTCAAAGCTGGGTGAGTAGGGAGGGGAGGGTAGAAAGGTACTTATGGGAGGAGCTGTGGAGGGAGTGACTATATTCACAATACATTGTATGAAATCCACAATAAGACTATTATTTAAAACAAAAGCAAGAAAAATCTGTCTGGCAAAACCTAGATTCATTCCTAAATATCTCTCCCAATAAAGTATCAAAATTCTCTATAAGCATTGATCTATTATGGGGACAACTTGATCAATTCTTTGCCAAATACTCTTTTAGTATGTAATTTATAAAAGACTATCAGTAGACAATTGTCTTACCTATTTTGGTAACATTTTGAATGAACATTAGGAATAGCACACCATCAGTATGTATGTGATTGAGATTCTGATACTAGATAGGAATATGATTTCCACTCCAGAACTCTAGAGCTTCATTACTATGTTCTCAGCAACTTCTTAAGGCTGATTTTAAAGGACAAAGAAAGAGAATTTAATCAACTGTGATCAACAAGTCTCAGGACAAAGAAAGAGAATTTAATCAACTGTGATCAACAAGTCTCAGGACAAAGAAAGAGAATTTAATCAACTGTGATCAACAAGTCTCAGGACAAAGAAAGAGAATTTAATCAACTGTGATCAACAAGTCTCCATGTGCACTCCTGGGCTCTATGTGCCTTCCAGGCACATGCCATTTGTGAAAGATGCTCAAATGCCTGCATCCTCTTATCTCAATTTGCTGCAAGGCCTCCCTGCTATATCCACCCATCAGAAAGTATATCCCAACGGGGCTCTGCCAAGGCAAACTAACAATGTAAACTTGTACCACATGGCACAGATGAACTTGCCTATTATTTCCCCCACGGCATACAACTCTCAATCCACTTTCACTCTTACTGGTGGAGGTAAGCTTACAAATTCCTTTGAGTAATTCCTATGAGTTATACTGGATTTGTGAAAACCTGGAGGGGAGGGAAGGAGCAAATATCCTGTTATTGCAATAGAGACAGACATGCCCAGGGCCACCTGGGTGGGAGATGCTTGTCAAGGAACAAATGAGGAAGAGTTCACAGTGCTATGCACGTAGAAGCACTTCACCCTGCAGTCTCCCTATCCAAATTACACATGCTTCGACATGAAGCTTGTAACCAGCAAGCACATGGTGAATTTTAATGAAACTGAGAACATAGACACAATAATTCTGGCAGAAATCCAGACAGGATAGCATAAAACTAACGGGGATGCGATTTCAAATCCATGGAGCTGGCAATCACTCATTAATGGTCTTGTCTCTCATCCCCTGCTTACAGCCATGCATCTTCACAGTGTGTGTTTCAACAGCCCCGCTTGGCAGATGTCAGGACTTGGTATTTGTGTCACATCCTTTCTTTCTTTACAGAGACCTTTTTGAGACATGCCCATTTGTCTTCTGTGCTTTATTTAAACTTAGTGGCTCCAAAATGTGCCTCGTGAGATGAACTGGACTTCTTCAGGGTGTGTTCTTCAGGATGGATCAACACTGTGATGAGTGGAGAGAGGGTACCCAGAGACCAACCTTGATGCCTGTGACTTGCTGGGTGAGGAGCATGAGGCTAGTGCAAAGTATCTTCCCAATATCCGGAGACCAGCTAGACAGATGACTGAAACCAGTGGCCTAGCCTCCTACACTCCTCTGTAAGTTCTCCTGCTCTGTGAAGAACACTTTGTTGGTTTCAAAGACTCATTAAGGTAATGTAGGTAAGCTACATGGGAAGTTGTTCAGAAAAGAACTTTTCTAAGGAGAGCAACTGTGTGTGATCAGAAATGACAGAGTGAGCTTTCCCAGTTTGTGAAGCAATGGACACAGCAGGATTGAGATGAGCAGCCATCTTGTCACATCATACCCATGCTGTGACAGTCGCCTGTGTTAGCAGTGTTGTGACAGATGGACAGACTCCTGCATCAGCAGTGCCGTGACAGATGGACAGATGCCTGTATCAGCCGTGCTGTGAACTGTTGTGGTATCTCCTTGGTTGGTCAGAAGTTTAATGATATCCAGAAGGAGAAGCCATTAGTTTCCAGTGTGTGGCCCAAAGCAAAAGAGTGGCCTTGCCCTTTTCATTATGATACACCACTGGGTTCCCTAAACATATTTTCTGAGAGATGGTGACCTTCAATTATTACCCAATGGCCAGAAACCCACGAATTCTCCCTGACACACCTCCAGAACAGGCATATGTGCTTGAGTTGGGAGGGACTGGGACAGGCGCTGGTATTTCAGATGGTCAGAGAGACAAAAAGAGCCACTGGGACTTGTAGAGGCCAGGGTGCCCAGGACCTTGCTATATCACCATCACTGCTCTGTAGAGACTTGGTTCTCTCCACATCTTATGTCATTGGGAAGAAATAATGACTTTCTGGCTGTAAAATGGCTCAGTGGGTAAAAGTGCTTGCCAAAAACCTGTTCCTTTGAGTCTGGCTCCTAGGAACCCAGGTAAAAGCCAGATGAAGTGGTGTCTGTCTGTTATCCCAGCACTCCATCAAGGAGATTGGAGGTGGAGACAGGAGAACATCCCAGCAGCTCACAGGCAAACTAGTGCAGTGCAACTAGAACACAGCACAGTGGGGGACAACAGACCCTTCTCCATTCAAGGCTGTTCTCTGACCTCTACACATACCACGTGGCATGTGTGTGGCCTCACACAGAAATACATACATGCAAACAACAAACACACATACACATTCTAAAAAAGAAATCATCATTTTCTTAAGTACCAACTAAAGAGATGGGTTTTCATTAGCATGGAACAGATACCAGTTTTGAATTTCATTCTTTATATCTTGTCCATATTGTAAGATACATTCAGATATATCTTGTCCATATTGTAAGATACATTCAGAACACTCTATCATCAGTGACAAACACTGTTGTATCACCCCTGAAAAGTACCACTCTCAGTCTGACTGAGATCATCCTGAATGGGAAAACAGTGAGTATTAGATGGCATCCTTCCTATGGTCCAGAAACCCACGAATTCTCCCTGACACACCTCCAGAACAGGCATATGTGATTGAGTTGGGAGGGATGGGGACAGGCGCCGGTATTTCAGATGGTCAGAGAGACAAAAAGAGTCACTGGGACTTGTAGAGGCCAGGGTGCCCAGGACCTTGCTGTATCACCATCACTGCTCTGTAGAGACTTGGTTCTCTCCACATCTTATGTCATTGGGAAGAAATAATGACTTTCTGGCTGTAAAATGGCTCAGTGGGTAAAAGTGCTTGCCAAAAACCTGTTCCTTTGAGTCTGGTTCCTAGGAACCCAGGTAAAAGCCAGATGAAGTGGTGTCTGTCTGTTATCCCAGCACTCCATCAAGGAGATTGGAGGTGGAGACAGGAGAACATCCCAGCAGCTCACAGGCAAACTAGTGCAGTGCAACTAGAACACAGCACAGTGGGGGACAACAGACCCTTCTCCATTCAAGGCTGTTCTCTGACCTCTACACATACCACGTGGCATGTGTGTGGCCTCACACAGAAATACATACATGCAGACAACAAACACATACACATTCTAAAAAAGAAACCATCATTTTTCTTAAGTACCAACTAAAGAGATGGGTTTTCATTAGCATGGAACAGATACCAGTTTTGAATTTCATTCTTTATATCTTGTCCATATTGTAAGATACATTCAGAACACTCTATCATCAGTGACAAACACTGTTGTATCACCCCTGAAAAGTACCGCTCTCAGTCTTACTGAGATCATCCTGAATGGGAAAACAGTGAATATTAGATGGCATCCTTCCTATGGCTCCTTTAAAAACAGAGTTTGAAAAGCCCCAAGGTGTTAACAGCAATCAATTTATGACATAAGCTATCCCTCTCACCGAAACCTGGGCTGTGGCCCTCTGAATGGGAATGAGAAAACCCTGAGGGTGGCATTGCACATCACACACAGGCTATTGTGTCTGTCCCTGCTGCTGTGTCCGAGGGAGGATAGAGAGAAGAGACAGAGCTGAGGATAGAATGTGCTCATGTACATCTGAAAATATGCTTAAAAAAGAGACTGCCAAGCCAGGTGGTGGTGGTACATACCTTTAATTGCAACACTTGGGAAAGAGTTTGAGGCCAGCCTGGTATACAGAGTGAGTTCCAGGACAGCCAGGGTCACACAGGGAAACCCTGTCTTGAAAAACCAGAGAAAGGGGAGAGGGAGAGAGACCGTAGGAAGAGATGTGGTGCACAAAACTAGCTGGCTTCTTTTAAATGTCATCTGAAATTCCAGGTCAAGGTGAAATGGTTGTGGACCAAGGCAGGTCTGAGATAAGACAAAGTAGGAAGACATCCAAACAGTCTACTCATTAAAACTCCCAAGTCTTTCAAGTTAATTATAAAGTATCTGTTAGGATAATTACCCAGAACGGTAATGCCACAGTTATTTAAATATTAAGCACACAGCAGATTTTATAGTTATCTATTAAGAGCTATGGCATCAAATTGCATTTTTGAAGCCAAATATGTAAACATTAAAAAACTTGGAACGTCTGCTATGTTCCTGAGGTTTCTAAGAGACAGCCACTTGTCACCACTGCTATTCAAGATAGCGCCATGCATTCTGTAGAAAGGAAAATGATAGGGTCTTACCAAGTAATCATCAGGCTTGATACCGAAGAGTTCTCGGAAGTACCGGAAGGCCAGTGGAGCGTAGGTCTTAAACCTGAAGTCTGGGTAGTGATGCGCTGGGGTCAGGTTGCTACCTTCACTGCAGTTCAAATACCACAAAGGAGACACACAGAGAACATTAGCAAAAATGATTTTGCCTTGAAATTCTAACTCTATTAGTCCTGGGCCAATTTTATCTCTAGGAAAAAAAAAATACACTCTGCTCATGGGTGTCTTGAAGCTCCCATCAAGAAGGACCATGGCCCGAGGATAAGGACACATTGAAACAGTGATGGGCCACTCCCAACATGCCAGTCATGGGGTATGACAAATTAAAGCACTTCACCATGAATTTTGTATACTGGATAAATATCTGTAACTAGGAACATCTGAAATATTTTTTAAAAGGATCTATTTATTTTGATTGTATGTGTATGAGTGTTTTATTTGAATGGATGTTTGTGTGCCACCATGTGGGCAGTGCCTTCAGAGACCAGAAGAGGGTGTAGGTCTGACCCCCTGAAACTGGAGTTAATGAGTTGTGAATTGACATGTGGATGCTGGGAATCAAACCAAGGAATCGAAGAGCAGCCAGGATTCTTAACTGATGAATAATTTTAAAAATATCCTAAGATCTAGAGAAAAGAACTGTCAATTTCCATATCAAAGTATACTTATCATAAATAGTTGCCGGGCTGTTTTCCTTTTGGGGGTTTAAAAAAACCTTAAAATTTATTATTAGTCTAATTATGTATGTGTAGGCACACAAATGATGTGTATATGTGTATGCATTCACACAGCAAATATACAAGGTCAGATGACAGTTTTGTGGGGTTGGTTCTCTTCCATCTTTATGTGGGTTCCAGGGATTAAACTGAGGGTGACAGGCTTGTGTGGCAAACACCTTTACCAATGAAGTCATCTTGCTAGCCTCTCCCTTTTGGGTCCTGGAACAGACACTCATTTTGAAATGCAAACTGACCTGAAATTCACTATGTAGAACAAAGTGCCTTGAGCTCCTGATTCCCTTGCTTTATCTTTGTCACTGCAGAGATTACAGGTGTGTGCCACCATGTTCAACTTATAAATGGTTGTTGTTGCCCTAAGCAAGCAGGGCTGAATATTCCTAGTCATGTGTGATGACCTGTCAACACAGCCAAACAGTTCCTCAGTCCACATTTTGCGATTTATGGGAGGAAATGCATTCAGCTGCGTGTCCCCGGGGATGACTTCAGAATTTATGTGACATGTAATAATTTACAAATGCCAGCTATGGAGGAATAAGAGTTAGAAGCCAACAGAGTCAGTGTGGACTCTGACCTCCCACTTGACTGTCAACAAGTAGAAACAAACAAGAAAACGCCTGTTTTGGAAGGGGGCTGCTTTCATTGGGCTCAGAGTATGGCCTGTTTCTTATTTCTCAGGCTCCTGCTTATTGCTCTCTAGCTCATACCATCGAAGCTGGGCAGATTTCCTTCAACAGTCTGAGGTAAGACCAACAAAAGTGTTCCTTTTGTCAGCTTCCTTCATTCTTTGGCTAGCAAGTCCAAGCAAGAAGCTGGATGCTGCATTAATTTGTTTTGTTTTTGGTTGATTCTGAGCTTCTTGTGTTGATCGCCTTGGCTTATAAAGAGGTTTCTAGGGAACAGCAACTTGATGACTATGCTCAAGTCTTGTTTTGTTTTTGGTTGATTCTGAGCTTCTTGTGTTGATCGCCTTGGCTTCTACTAATTATAAAGAGGTTTCTAGGGAACAGCAACTTGATGACTATGCTCAAGTCCGGAGTAGTATCAAATAGATAGTCTTAGGTTTCCTTGGAAATGAGACAGACTGACACAAATGCATACACATGATATATGTGCGCATACAGCAGTGCACTCGAGGTAAAAAATGTGAACATTGTTCCCTTCGAAAATATATTATGTTGTGTGTGGCATATATACTTGTTAGTGTGGTTGTGTACACACATGAGTGTTTGTACAGGCATGTGTGTGTATTTGTGTGCATGAGAATACATGGATATAGAGACCAAAGGCTGACATGCGGTGCCTTTTCTCAATTATTCTCCCCTTTATGTGAGACAAGGTCTCTTACTAAGCCCGGAAGTCATCAATGCAGCTATGTTGGTCACAGCACACTAGGGATCCCCCTGACTCTTTCTTTCCAGTGCTGGGTAACAGCTACTGTGTTCAGCCAGGTAATTATTCACAGGAATGGAATGATTTTTAAACTTTACTCTCAGCTTCTGAAACACAAATGCCAGCCTGGAGCATCACCAGGGACAGGATTTCCTGCAGGAGAGCAGAAGGAAAAGCACAGATTTTTATGGGCACAGGGCCCAAAAACACTTCTCCAGAACTGTGTCTTACCATTTACTTGTGAGTTAAGTGACAAGATCTTAGGGTATTAATTATTTCATATGCCAGCAGACTATTCTTTTTTCCTTCCTTCCTTCCTTCCTTCCTTCCTTCCTTCCTTCCTCCTTCCATGTAAGTGTGTAAGGTAATAAGAGTAAGTTAGCCAGGTATGATGTACACGCCTTTAATCCCAGCACTCAGGAGGCAGAGGCAGGCAGATCTCTGTGAGTTAAAGGCTAGCCTGAGACCCTGTCTCAAAAAAAAAAAGAGTAAGTTAAAACTGTAATTATACACATTGTATGTCAAATAAACAACACCATGCTTGACGTGAGCTTTGTTTTCCCTTGTCATCTCAGGTTCATGGTCATATGGTACAAAGTTTATAAAACTTCTTCCTTCTCTATCTCACCAGAAATGAAAATTTTCTAGAGTAGCCCGTCAGGGGGGTGGATGCTCACGATTCTTTTACTAATCTACTTTGATTTTGGAAGACCAGGTAACCAGAGACTGGTCAGGCACTGTTACATATTCCTCCAATCTTAAATGACCAGGCCTTTTTCTATCTATAAAATGAATCTGTAGAATAAATACGTGTATCTAAAATTAGCTTTGAGAGATTTCAAAATAAAAAAAGGAACACAATGCATTTGGTTGCTAAGGGAAACCGATGCTGTTGCTTCAGAGTGGAAGTAAATTAAAACAGCTTGTCAGGGGCTAGAGGCTCAGTGGTTAAAATCATTAGCTGCTCTTACAGAGGACCCAGACTCAATTTCTAGCACCAACATGGTGGCTCACAGCCATCTCTACCACAAGTTACAGGAGATCTGACTTCCTCCTCTTCTGACCTCTGAGGCCATCAGGCATGCAAGTAGTGCACAGACACGTATGCAGGAAAAATGCCAATACATATAAAACAATGTTAATAAGCAGCATGTCACTTCAAACAACTAGTTCTCTAGAACTGAGGCAAACCCATGGTTTAGGGTTACCAGAGAGACCTCAGAACGTTTCAGTTGTTTACAACCCGAGCCTGTGTGAAACCCATGGTTTAGGGTTACCAGAGAGACCTCAGAACGTTTCAGTTGTTTACAACCTGAGCCTGTCACTTATCCTGGTCCACATCCTCAGATGAGCTTAGAAATGTGGGCATGGGGAGAACTATTTGATACATTCACACATACATATACTCAATGTATGAACTGCTTTTTGTTTGTTTGCTTTTTTCAAGGCAGGGTCTCACTATGTAGCTCTGACTTTCCTGGAGCTCACTATGCAGACCAGGCTCATCTCCAATTCAGAGAGATTCAGCTGCTTCTGCCTCCTAAGGGCTGGGATTAAAGTCATGTGCCACTAAGTCTGGCTATGAATTGCTAATTTTACATGCACAACTAACTGTGAAAACATAGTCACAATCAACATACTCAATGTATCCATCACTTTGTGGAGGATTTTGGCTGTTGTGGTAATTAGGACATCATCACTGGTAGGGCTTGGGGCAAACAGTCCTACACACAGAGTTATCTAACCTAAAACAACACCTCCCGTGAGAAACCCTGGGGTGGACTGTTGCAGGATATTTGATCACACTGTGTGAAGATGTGCCTGTACTTCCTCACCTGTCTAAGGAACCTTCTGATTGGCTTAATAAGGAGCTGAATGGCCAATAGATAGGCAGAAGGGGGCAGGTGGGACTTCCAGGCAGAGAGAGGAACTTGAGGGGAAGATTCTGAGGAATATTGTGGCAGGACTTAGCCAGTGAGACTCAGAGGAAGTGAATGTACAGTACTAAGAAGAGGTAATGAGACGTGGCAGAATGTAGATTAATATAATCGGGTTAATCTAAGTTTTAAGAGCTAGTTGGGAAAAAAAAGAGCTAGTTGAGAACAAGCCTAAGCTAAGGCCAAGCTTTCATAATTAATAAAAACTCTCTGTGTCATTATTCAGGAACTGGTAGTCCAAAGAAAGCTCGGCTACAGTGATCCTTTGCTAAACTCATGAAGACATTGAGTCCAGGGAAGGAATCAAGGGACCCACAGCATAAATTCATTTGTCTTCCTGTAATTATATCTAGGACACATAGGTCTTAAAAAATGTTGTATTGACATTTAAAAGCAGCAATACTCTAAAGTGGTAGATGTTAAATGTGACAGTAGATTTCTGTAAGGGATGAAGCCTGCTTCCCTAGTGATGTGTCTGGTCTGCTGTTCGTGGAGACGATAATGTGAAGAACAAAGACATAAGTCCAGGTATTTGTAACTTTAGCCTCCCACTCAAAAAGAAAAAAATGAAAAGCCACCATCTTCTCTTCCTCATAAGGATGGCATAGGCTTGTAACAAGTCACCCAAGAACAAAAGGGGCATACATACAGCAAGCTCCCTTTAGGGTGCTTTCTATGACCACAGAATCAATCAATTATGGATTAAAATAGTTTTAAAAAATTCTATCTCTACTGAACATGGTTAGATGTTTTTCTTGTCAATATTCCCTGAGTGGTGGAGTAAGCAACTATTCATAGGGTAGCAGGTTGCATGACTAGTCTAGAGATGCTATGAGATAAGGGGTAGGGCTGTTTAGATGGCTCAGTGGATGGAAATGCTTGCTGACAAACCTAATGACCTGAGTTTGATCCCCAGGCTGTACATGGTAGAAAGACAGAACTGATTTATCCATGGTATTGTGGGAAATTTGGTCACACTGTGCGAATATGTGTCTGTACTTCCTCACCTACTAAGGCAATTTCTGACTGGTTTAATAAAGAGCTGAATGGCCAACAGCTAGGTAGGAGAGGAGGAAGTCAGATACAGTAATGAGGAGAGGTAACAAACCACATGGCAGAATGTAGATTAATGTAAATGGGTTAATTTAAGTTTTAAGAGTTTAGGAACAAGCCTAACTTAAGGCCAAGCTTTCATAATTAGTAAGAAATCTCCGTGTCATTATTTGGGAGCTGGCAGTTCAAAGAAAGTTTGACTATAGTGGTGTATGTGCACATATTTACACCCATTCATAAAAATAACCACAATGAAAAAGTTTACAGGAGAATGTGTGAAAGACATATGCAGGTTTGTGCTCCTTTACTTAAGGGACTTTTGCACAGATCGATTTTCTGATGCTTTGGGATGCAACTACACACCCTCACGAACACTGAGGGATGAGATCAAGCCCAGCATAAGCAAAACGGCTCATTTTGAACATGTGAGTCTGAAATGCCAATCGTCAGAGTCACAGAGACAAAGTAAGCATCGCCAAGGAAAATGTCTTCATTTGTAGTCCATTTTCTTTGGAAAACCCAGCAGTTGTGGTGACACTTCAACTGAACAATGATTGTCTTTTACAATAGTGGAATTGACTTAAATTATTTTACTTATTAGGGCATAGTAGACACGACATAGAAACAAACACCTCCAGTATACAGTTCCATCATTGTTTTCCATTTCCACATGTATTTGTATTTAAAAATATTTTATCACATTTTTTTGTGCGTGCGTGCGTGCTTGCGTGCGTGTGTGTGTGTGTGTGTGTGTGTGTGTGTGTGTGTGTGCACATTTGCATACTATGGTGTGAGGGTAGGTCAGAGAACAACTTGTGAGAGATGCTTTCTCTTCCTACAATATGAGTCCTAGGGATCAAACTCAGGTAGTCAGGCTTAGAGGTAAGTGCCTTATTCACTTGAGCCATCTCATTAGCCCACATAGGATTTTAAACAGTTTTTTTTCTTCTCCAGACTGATAAATGCATGGACAACTCTGGTGGTTTTACAAATATGGCATCAAAACAGCAGCATTATCTCATGTTTTCCTGGGGGAAATTTAAGTTAAAGTCATCATAAAAGACAACTTACTGGCTTAATTCAGATTTATGACCATTTGTGGTTGCTCCAGTCCATTCTTTAACTATTTATTTATTTTTAAGAAGATTTATTTATTTTTATTTTATGTGTATGAGTGTTTTCCTGTATGAATGTATGTGTATCATATGTATGCCTGGTGCTCTTGGAGGCCAGAAGAGGATGTTGAATCCCCTGGGACTGGAATATATAGATGGTTGTGAGTTGCCATGTGGGTGCTGGGAAATGAACTCAGCTCCTCTGCAAAAGTAGCCAGTGCTATTAACAACTAAGCCATTTATATAGCTCCAGCTCCCTCTTTTAAATTAGGCATAGAAAAATCTTGGCACCAGTGCTGATTCATGGAAGTTCTCTCAAAACACGAGGCAGACTTTACTCTGAGATTTCTTTATCCTCACCCACAAAATCCCATGATCCTTCTTGCACAGTCTTCCAGGCACCCATCACAACTAATTACAGCTGACCCATGGATGACACTCACCGCTCCACAGAGGAAATGCAGGACATTCTCAAGCAAAAAGATGGTGGAGTCACAGGTCCCACCCACACACCCTTCAGAACATGTAGATATGAACATGGCAGAAAAGTCCTTCAACCAAAGGATGCCACTGTGAATTGTTTCAGCATGGAATCATTTCAAACTAACACGTTCTTACCTGGGTAGGAACACACTTTCCACCACATAAAAGTCTTGCATGAGGACATCGCGTTCTGGCTTGGAAGTGAGATTTCCCACTGTGTATCCTATTCCCAGCTGAATAGCACCTTTAATAGCTGATGATGCGGTCTGTAGAAGAAACACAGGGTGCCGTGTTAGCTTTGAGGGCTTTGTTCAGGGTTACAGGCAGCAAACTGGAGGGTGAGGCTATTTTCTCCTTCTTGTTCCCAAATGGCATGGAACTGGGCCTTAGACTCTATTCAGGATCGGGTGTGACTTCTCATTCAGGATCCTTCTCGGGGTGTGACTTCTCACACGGACTGTGGAATGTTCTCCATAGAGGACTCATGCATTTGGACACTTAGCCTCAGCTCCTGTTTTGGGAGCATGAAGAACCTGTGGAAGATGGACTCTACTGGTGGACATAGGTCATCAAGAGGCTCATATTCTGGCCCTGCATCAGGTGCCTTTTACTGTGCCTATCTAGCTGTTGATGAAGAGTTCCAGTGTATACGTCCAGTGGCACACACTCATTCCCCATTCCCTCACAGTCATGATGACTGAGCCCTAATGAACTCTCCTCCGTTAAGTTGCCTAGGCCAGGCATTTTGGTCACCATGAAGAAAAGTAAACTGGCACACATGAGATTATTTTTGTAAGTATGACATCTTTCATACAAAATGAGTCTTAGGTTAAAAGGCTAAAATCTCTCCTTTTTTTTTTTTTAAACTAAGAACTTGGAAACTCTGTGGAGCCCTTTCAATAAGGAGCACTATAGTTTCTACCCAAAGATAAATGATATAGTTGGACTTGTCAAAAAAAAAAATCTGATTTTTTCCCCCTACAACATACTTGTGGATCAGTAAGAATATTTTCTCTCCACAAGAAGTGGTAGGGCAAAAACATTATTGGAGTTTTTGGTGTTCACACAAAATTTAATTTCGAAAATTGCCTACTGGTTTTGGCAATGATCTAAATTTTTCTTCATTAATCTGTGATAGAAGATTTAGCATTGGTGTATGATAAAAGATGAAGAAGCATGAGGATACCAATTTATTACTTTTCAAATATCTTAATAATGAAACAGAGATGCTGTTAAATTAGAGAATAACTACCTTGTGTATGTGTACACATAAGTGCATACATGTACACGTTGATAGGTTTTTTGTTTGTTTTTGTATGTAGGTTGCTGCAAATTAAGCCCAGAATCTTAAAATCTATATCAATGTATGTATTTGGCTTTAATAAAATAATAAACAACAATAATAGAATAGAATAATTCAATTTAGGAAAGTTAGAATAGCTGGGTGCTTTAACCCAAGCATTCCACAAGCAGAGACAAGCGCACACACACATGCATGTGTAGGATGGAAAGTGATGATGAACTGTCTTCCTTGATTGTTCCTCACCTTCAAACTGACCTTGGAATTCACTGATTCTGTTCCAGGGGTCCTCCTCCCTCTAGCTCTCCAAAGCTGGTTGTGCCCAGTTTAACTTTGTACGTGGACACCAGAGATCTGAACTCATGTCCTTGTGCTTGTGCAGTAGGTAATTTATCTACAGAGCCATTTCCCCAACACCTCAGTACAGTGTTCTTAAGGGTTAGCATGTTTAACTTTGTGTGTGTGTGTGTGTGTGTGTGTGTGTGTGTGTGTGTGTGTGTGTGTGTTTTTCGAGACAGGGTTTCTCTGTGTAGCTTTGGAACCTATCCTGGTACTTGCTCGGGAGACCAGGCGGCCCTCAAATTCACAGAGACCCCCCTGCCTCTGCCTCCCGAGTGCTGGGATTAAAGGCGTGCGCCACCAACGCCCGGCTGCATGTTTAACTTTTTATATCTGGCAGTGCTAATGCAGTACCATAGACCACAGCAGGAAACAGTAAGTTAAATGAATGATTTTTTTTGGGGGGGAAAGATGGGGGTTTGAGATAGGGTTTCTCTGTGTAGCCTTGGCTGTCCTGGCACTCTCTTTGTAGACTAGGCTGGCCTCAAACTCAGAGATCTGCCTGCTTCTGCTCCCGAGTGCTGGTACTTAAAGGCACTCGACACCACCACCCAGAAAATAAGTAATTCTTAACCAGAGGCATTTGACAATGTTTGCAGAGGTTTTGTTTTGTTTGTTTGTTTTTGTTTTTTTTTGTTTTTGGTTAGCACATTCGTGTGTCGTGGATGCCACCAGCACCAACTGGGTCTAAGCATCCTGCAGTGTACTGGAAAGCTCCCTTCCACAGAGCTAATGGCATAAAGATTATCCAATATATCCCAAAGGAAAATCTTCTTTCCAGGCAATATTTTCATTTTGTAAATCCAACACCAATCCCCATCTCCCTCCATCCTTTATTCTTTTTTGTTTCTTCTTCTTTTTTAATATCAAAAACATCTTTCCTTGAGAAAATTTCTCTCGATTCTATGAGGGCACTGGGTTCTGGGACCACTATCCAGCTTTCCTGATGGTGTCTCCTGTAGCTTCTTCATTGGCTTCTCTCACAATCTATCTCCTATAACTGAAGAATTCCCTACAAGTTTGATTCCTGATCCTCAGGCTCCTTTGCTGCCATTATGAATGATAACAGCCTAGTATTAAGCCCTTCCAGTCTCATCTCTACGCATACGGCTCTCAGATCTTCTCAATCTATTTGGATGTTATTCTACCGCCACACACATAAGGCAGTATCCTAGAACCTGTCCACCCCATTTCCAACGTCTGCTGCTTCTCCTAAGGCCCTGTCATCTTCAGCCGGTCAAATGGAACCCCCAAACAGACATTTAATATCGGGTGAGTCCCACATTAATACCTGTTGGTTTTGCCTGAAATGGCCACACTCAACTATTACTGTTCAGAAGCCTCTTCATACAACTAGTAAGAACAATTTCTTAAATCATCTTTTAAGCCCCTTTCTTGTTCTACTCCATACATCTGTCATCCTTCATCCGAGGACAGCAATCTGCATATTGGACCATGTAGAACTTGAGAAAATTTTTGGTGTTGTTTTTCCCACATACCCTTTGACTTAGGACTGGAGGAAGCACGTTGCAAAAGACTGAGAGCTAAGTGCATCCAGTGCCTGAAAAAACAATTTTGTTATTTTAGTACTCCTTCCCTGTATTCTGCGATGCCAGCAGTTGGCGTCAGTGACCTTTTGTACCGGTGGCTCTGCATTCTGAAGGCACAAATGGATTTCTTTCATTTTAACCCTGTCTAAAGATTCAAAAGCCATTTCTCTTCCTTCGTGTCACTGGGGGTAGTCTGCCACAAGATGTGACATCAATGTTTTTCAGAGGAACCGGCACCCAGAATGTTCTGTCTAGTCCTCAAACAGAGCACGTGTTCTGGTGCACGTTGCATCCTCTCCTCATCCCCCACTGTTTTCCAGAGCCATGAGAGCAGTCTTTTATCACTTTGTGCAAGTCTGTCAGCAGAGAGAGTACCATGTTCCTTGCTGTCCCCACCCTGGGAACAGAAGGCAGTCTCAGCTGCCAGCAGTCTGTAACCTTGACCAGAACCCTCAGACTTCAGGGGGTATGAGTGTCACTGGAGATGCTGCTGACATGGACAGTGGGTCACTTCCCTAGAATATATGAAGAAGGACCCCAGGATCAGGGTAAAACAATGACCCCTCGCTCTAGGAAATACTGAAAACAACCTTTCTCTTGTGGTATGAGATCAAGTTTTGAGCTCCTGAAGGAATGAGGACCCCACTGACATGTTTAATTAAATAAGAAAAAGACCGGGAAAAAAAAAAAACACCCACAACATATCGTAATCCCATTAATTTCTTTTCAGACCTCTTAAAAACAAGTACTTGAGTGGGAGAAATAATAGCATAGCAATAAAGTAATAGAAACAATTATTTTTGAGCAACTCATTTATGCCAGACAACTGACAATATGGATAATGATAATTTTCCCAACGTAACCACAGTGCATACTTCCACAATGCTTACAAGGCTCCCACTGCCCTTGACTTTTGTTGATTCTTTAAACCTCCCAGTAACTTGGAGAGGTAAGTACTAGTTGGTAAGCAGCCCCAATGTGAAAATTTGAAATCCCAAATGCTCCACCATTGGGAACTATCAATAATGTGTTCCAGTGATAGGGTGAGCTTCTCAAAGTTTCTGGTTACTGACAATTGCCATGAATGGAAAATACCATACCCAATGATGGGTCATGACCAAAACAAAACATAGAGCACACCAGCACAGCAGTTATTCATTTGCTGGAGTCAAAGGGAGTCCATTACCTGCATAAGATGCTTAGAAATACTGTATGAAGTTATATTTAGGCTAATCGTGGAGGGCACTCATAACATTGAAATAAATCTTGTGTTCAGTCTTGGCTTCTATCCACAAGCTATCTCATTAGGCATATGCAAATGCACCCAAATCTTTTATTCAAAACATGTCCCAAGGATTCTGGGTAAAGGATTTCCATCCTGCATTACCATCTCCATTTCATGGACTCAGGTATGTTTAGTAACTTCCTCCAAGGTAAAGAGGGGGAGCTAGGACTTAAGCCAAGGGCGGCTGAATCCAAAACAACCATGCTCTGTGGTCTCTAATAGCAGAGTTCCTTAATTCACTTAACCAAGTAGCTGGGCTTGGTGACAATGATTCCCTTTATAGATGTACACTTATGGCTTAGGATGGTTAGGTGATGGTCCCAAGTCTTTCTGCTGGCATCTGGCAGAGTCTGACCACCAGGTGCAGGTGGCTTCCACATCTTTTTCAAAGAGTCAAGAATCAAAGTTGAAAGTTCTCTATTAAGTCTGCCTGTTTGACTTCCAAAAAAGAAGGAGCCCCGAAGGAGCCATTCCTTTGGATAAACCGAGATAAGAATGTTTAATTAGCTGCTAATCACACCCAGCCATAGGCAAGCCAAACAAAAGCTCACAAAGCTCTCAGCAAACCACATCATTAGCATCACTGGTAACATGAGGAGTTATTAATATGAGGCCGTATCTGGCTGCCTCAGTAGACATGACCCCTCGTGCTTCCTCTTCCCAATCTCTGGGTAAAAATTAAATGCTTCAGCATGAGTACATTTAGGTATAATTACGTAGCACCCCACCTGCTTCATGGAAATTCTTGCTTGTGTTCAGTGACACATAATTGTTCATAGGCCACCAGCAGCA